GGGATGGGATGGGATGGGATGGGATGGGATGGGATGGGATGGAAAGGGTCAACCGTGGATGGAAAAGGACAGGCAGGGTCAGGCAGGGGAGAGAGATGGTGATCAGGATGGTAAGGGTTAAATAGGGATAGGAAGGGCCTGGAGAAGGGATGGAGAGGCATGGGATGGGAGTAGTCGAGGACAAGCAGGGACGGGTGCTCACCTCAGCAGGCTCTGCAGCACTGTTGGCACAGAAGAGGCTCTTGAGGGCGATGCTGGAGCTGTCGGTGGCACTGGCTGCAGGAAGCAGAGGGGTCAGCGTGGGGCAGCGGGCTCCCAGGGGGGCTGTGGGGTGCTGAGTCACCTGGGGGGCCGTCGGCAGGGACGCTGGGCACCCGCTTCAATGCTGGCTTTAGGGGCTTGCGGGATCCGCTGCGTGTGGGAGTGAAGGAGGAAGCTTCAGTGCTGATCTGTGGGAGGGAAGGGATGGGGTCAGGGAGGCAAAGACACCTTGATGGGGGGACCCGAGGGCGGTCCCTCACATGGAAGCAGACGCTGGCTTCGGAAAACCGGCGCCCGTCATCAGCGCTCGCCCATGCCTTCTGCCTCAGGGCCTGGAGCCGGCGCTGGGGATGCAGCTGGTGGCCCAACAGGGCCCCCACCTGTGCCCTTTCAATGGAGCCCAGCAGGATCATGGACTCTGTGACCGAGAGGGGACACGTTGCAAGAAACAGCACTGCAGGGACATTGTGGAAAGATGGAGAAGCTTCCATGTGCCTCTTACCTGCTGAATCCACCAGTGCCAAGCTCTTCATCTTGGTGCTCTGCAGCACATGCTGCAGGTCCCGGTACTTGCAGTTGAGAGAGACGTAGGGGACATCCCGCACCATGATGTCCTCCACCCGCATGTTGTATTTCCTGCCCGGGGAAATGCCCTCAGCACGTTGCCACAGAGCGCTTGTGGTTGGGGATGTGGGGACACTCACTCATGGTGCCCCCAGCCCAGCTCAGGGAGGTAGGGCAGCTTCTTGATGCGGATGATGCTGTCGTAGAGGGAGGGCTGGAGGCTCTGGGCCACCGCGTTGGCCAGGATGACAGCAATCATAACGGGCAGGATGTGCGAGATTTGCCCCGTCAGCTCGAAGACGATGACGGCGGTGGACACAGTGTGGGTAACAGCACCCGACAGTGCGGCTGCCCCTGCCAGCCCCAGGAGACATGGGCAGCTGTCTCATGGGGCTGTGTCCCACATCCTAGGGACATCCTTAGGACAATCCCATTGATGGGAGGCACTCAGGGACACCAGCAGCTCTCTGGGAGGGGGTTGGGAAGGATCAAGTAGGGATGGGATGGGATGGGGATGGGAAGGGTGCTGTGCTTACCTACCACGGCGTAGCCCCCTGGCACGATGCGGTAGGTGTTGCTGTCGGTGTGGATCCCATCAGGGAACCAGGCTGCCATGCTCTCCCCAACCAGCCGCCCAAAGGCTGCCCCTGCCCACAGAGGGAGACTGTGGAGGCCATGGGCCTCTCCCAGGTCCCAACCCCATTCCTACACCTGCGCCATGTCCCTCCACCAGGAGACATCAGGTGACCCTGTCCCTCACCAATGACGAAGACCGGCATGAAAGCCCCACAGGGCACAGGGATGGTGGTAGCCAGGGCTGACATCCAGAACTGCATGGGGGATATGAGCACATGTTAATTGCCATCCCCTTGGGCTGGCTCTCCTCCAGCACCAGCCCTAGAGCAGGAAGCTGGCATGGCACCACGCCAGGGGCACCCCGCCAGCACTCTCTGGTGGCACCCCAGCTGCTCTCTGCCAAGATCTCCTTGACAGCATATTCGTGGCACCCAGCCACCACGTTGGTGGCCACAGGAGCAGCCACCCACTGTCTCCCAGGAGCACCTTGGTGGCTCCCATCCAGCACCTCCCTGGTGGCATGCGGGAGGATGTACCCACCTTCATGAGGATGAAGACAACGAGGGTGATGAAGACGTTGGAGCGGGGATGTCGCCAGGCCTCCAGGATGCCCATGTACTCAAATTCATCACTGGGCTCCTGCTTGGCCCACGTCCGGTTGTCAAACAACGTCACCAGCGTGTCCTTCTGAGTGAGCTGGGGACAAAAAAGTGAGCTTGGGTCCTGGTGGCCCGAAGGACCGGTGCACTGCTCCATAGCCACACCATAGCTACCTGTCCAGCCATGAACTGCCCAAAGCCGGGTGGGAAGGTCAATGTGGAGATGAGAAGTGTCACCAGGGCAGGGAACAGCAGGCGCCTGGCAGGGTGGCATGGAGGTGGTGACACTGGTGCAATCCCATCCCTGCCATCCCAGAGGGGACAGTTGCTCCCATGATGGTAGGGACCACTGGGCACCTACTTCTTCATCAAGAAGCGATTGATGGCCTTCTGTCGGCGCATGCACTGCACAATCTTGCGGTTGAGGTAGACAAAGAGAGCACCACCGAAACCGCTGGCGATCCTGGGCAGAGGTCGAGGCTGAGTGCTCATGTCCACCACACGGGTGTGGGATGGAGACATGGGATGGGGCAGACACACTCACCCAATGACGGCAAAGGCAGGCAGTTCCTGCAGGTCAAAGGGGAAGTCGAGGCGGAAGCGGGTTTTGAAGAGCGCTGTGATGGTTTCTGGGGGCATGGTGGGTGTGAGCGGGGCTGGGTGGGGGCACCCTGGTGTCCCCAGCCTCCCATTCCACGGGGGTACCTTCATCTTTGATCCAGACAGCCAGCACACGGAAGATGAAGGCGCTGAAGGTGGCGGCAAAGAAACCACGCCAATAGTTGCGGACAGCAAAGAAGGTGGAGGTGACCTCAATGCTGAACAGCACGCCTGGCAGTGGGAGGAAGGACGAGAGGGAAGAGAGGAGAAAGGCAGGCAGAGCCCAAGTGCCTGGCATGCTGTCCACCCAGAGCCCCATGGCCATGCTGCAATTCGGGGCTTCTTCAGCAAAGTGCACAGCTGTCTGTGCGAGCGAGAGGGCAGTGCAGGGATGTGGGAAGTCATGGGTAAGGGGAGACAGATGGCGTTGGGCACACACATATGGATAGACAGATGGATGGATGGGGCAGCTCAGCACACACAGGACAAGGAAAGAGTCAGACAGCACAAACCTATGGGCAGGGCTCAGCAGGGCCAGAGTGGGGAGCTCCCTGGAGTGCAGCGCAGTGCAGTGGGGGAGAGGACGAGATGAGATGTTACACCTCTAGGAGGATGGTGCCTGCTTCTCCCTTTATCCTCTGCCCTGTGGTCACCCCAACTAGTGGTGCTGCCTCTGCTGTGCCCAGTCAGGTGGGTCCCTGTCCTCTGCCTGGTACTCTGGGTGGGATCCTGCTGACCTTTCTGAGAGCAAGGGGTATGGGCTGGGGGGTCCCTACCTCCAATGGGGGCAGCGAAGCAGCAGCCGACACCGACAGCACAGGCAGCTGCAAGCATTTCAGTGTTCCTTGCCTCGTTCTGCAGGTGAGCATAGGCTGAATCAGTCCCAGCACTGCTGGAGTTCCCCAGATGCTATCCATACTCACTCACCTCATAGATGCCCCCAAAGAAGGAGAGGAAGCGGCTGAGCAGGGCTGCACACATGCTGGCAATATGGACAAAGGGACCCTGTGGGGACAGCAGTGGGGGCTGACGTTGGTGCCCCCCACCCAGCATACTGCCTGCTCCAGCCATGGGAAGTGCCCTCACCTCCTTGCCCAGGGGCATGCCGCTACCCAGGGCACACGTCAGCCCAATCACCTTGGCCACGAAGGTCTTCAAGGTGAGATACTCCTTCAGGATGACACCCCGCAGGATAGTCTTCATCTCAGGGATCCCTGAGCCTGGCAGCATGGAGATAGTCCTGACCCACAGCCATGGGGAAAGCCCTGGTTCTGTAGACCTGGGGTGCTCCCTGATACACTGTCATAGGGACCCACGTGAAGCCTTTCTCACAGTGCAGGTAGGACCCCTGGGAACATCCCCAGACCATGATGGGACACCCCAACCCATAGCCCTGCAAGGACCTCAATCCCACACCCCTGAGAGACCTTATAAAGACCATCCCTTGGATCTTGGAAGACCCCAGCCCCATAGTCTAGGTCACCCAGATTGTTCACAACACACAGCACCAGGGAGCGAAGACCCCATTAGGACGCATGCAACTTACCTACAGCCTGTGGAGCGAGGATCTGGGTGAAGCCAGCTGAGAAGGTGATGAGCACAGTGGGGTAGGTGACCCAGGCCAGATACTGCAGCATCACATTGGTGTCCAGGCCCCCATACATCCACTTCTGAGCTATGGGCACAGCGAGTTGCGGGCAGCAGGGGATGTGCTGTTGTCCTGGGATGCCCATCACCCATCACTGCCCACTCACCTTGGAGGCAGGTGGCGATGGCAAAGTCCATGGCCCAGCTCACCAGTGCCATGACCAACCCCAGGAGGATGAGGAAAACCCAGTCCTCGCCCACCCTGGCGATGAAGAACCTCTGGCACCGCACGGCACAGCCTGCAGGCACAGCACAGGCTTAGCGCCGGGGACGGGCAGAGCAGCACAGCACAACACGCCCGAGTGCCGTCCCTTGGCACAGCCCCAAGCTGAGCTGCCAGAGGGCCCCGTCCCTACTGCTGCCGCCCGGTTATTTTGGGCCATTGTGTCCCCGCAGGTGGCATTGTCCTCGGCGCCAGTGTCCCATGACAGCAGGAGAAACCCTACCCGCAGTGGCGGCAGCTGGGCGGGCAGTGGTGCCCAGAAGAGCATGTAGCTGCCTGGCCACTGTGCCAGGGGGTCGGTGTCCCCCCCGATACGTCCCCATCACCCTTACCACAGCAGGGGGCACAGCGTCCCTGGCTGTACTCCAGCAGCTCAGAGGGGCGGCGCGGCCGTAGGGTGCCACTGTCCTCATGCTCCTGTTTCAGCCGCAGCCGGGCTGCCTCATCCTTGGCGAAGGTGCCCAGGTCCTGTGTGTAGCGGCCATACATCTGGGGGAAAAAGAGTGGGAAGGGGAATCAGGGGGTTGGCACAGGCTTCTGGGCTGCAGGTGGGGAACCTGAGGCAGGGAAGCAGTGGACACAGTGCCAGCGCCGGGGTGGGGATCAATAGCAATTGTTTCATCCACGCACCCAGCACAGTGCCTGGCCCCACTGGTACCAGTCCCCGGCCCTGCCCAGGTGCTCCAGCCATAGATTGGGCTGCAGTGGGTCGGTGAAGGCATCCGGTGTCAGGAACACAGCCAGGCTGGCAGGGAGCTTCTCTGAGGCCCAATATTGGGAGTTGTGTCTCATTTTGGTGCTGTTACACGGGCTGGGATCCCCCCAAGGTGGGCACATATGTTCCAAGCTGAGCCCATGAGAGCAGAATAGGGCAGGGCGCACTCTTAGCTCCACAAAAAATTGGGCATCGACACTTAGGGCGTGAGGCACACAGGGACACTGTGGCCACTCGGGTGGCATATGGCACGTGTCCTGGCCCCTGGCACTGCCCCCTGTGCTCATTGTGCCCTTCCTCCCTGCCGAGCTGGGAGCACTGGTCCCGCACTGGGGGCACTGCCAAGGGCTTGGTTGCTTGGTTTCCGCCTTGCTCCCCCCGCCATGACCTGAATGCCAAGCGCTAGAGGTTGGCTGGGCACAAAGGGAGGCTTTAGGGCCACGGGGGCCCTTGCCAAGCTCCCACGTTGGGGCGACGTGAGCCTCATGCCGATGCATGCCTGCCCGCTGTGCCGCACGTGGCTGCCCCACAGCCCCTGTCCCGGCACAGTGCCCAGAGGAGGGGCTGTGGCACGGGTGGGCATTGTGCTTGGCACGTGCTGGCTCAAGCAGGGATGGCATAAAGGTGAATTTCTCGTGGGGCATTGCCCAGATCCCTCCGGCCAGGAGCAGAATGCAGCCAGTGTGGCGCCAGGTGGATTCTCTGCTGTCTGATACCTGGGTTAGGTTCGGCCCTGGGAGGGGAGAGGGAGGGCACAGCCGTGTCCATCACCAACCCCAAAACTTGTGCACGGCTCTATGGAAATGTGCTGGGGGCTGCAGCTCAGCCTCCTCAGGGGCTGCATTCAGCATCGCATGCCAGAGGAGGACCCCAGCCCTGCACGGCACTTGGTGTTCAAAGGCTCCCTTCGGGCGAAGCTTGTTTCCTCTGGAAGAACAAACGGCTCTGCACCCCAGGAGTTCTGTTGTTCTGCCAAGTGCCTGCCTCCCCCCAGCCCTATAGCTCCCCTTGTTCAGGATGGGGGCACCCCAGGCTGAGAGTCCCCCGTATCCCCTGCTGGAGGGCTGGCACATTGCCCCATGGGTTCCCAGCAGAATGCCCCTATAGCTGGAGCTGGAAGGGATCCAACCTGGCGGGGGGGGGGGTTATAACCCCATTAGCCCCCAAACGCACCAACCGTGCTTAAAAAGAGGAAAGGGGCTGTGCCACACCGTGCTGCAAACCCCATAGCAGAGCCCAGCTGTCAGTGAGGGCCAGCAGTCCATTCTGCCTTCCTCCTCCTCCACCTCCTTCTATTCCTCCTCCTCCTCCTGCTCGGGTTATTTTTCCACAAAGGCCTTTTGAAACACAAACAGCCCCGGGACTCCGGCCTCCGCCGCGAAGCAGCTGAACAATCACAGTGCCGGGCAGGCAGGGAGCGGGCACGGGGCGGGGGGGCTGGCGGGGGGCAAGCAGGGACGTGGGCACAGGATGAGGTCTGTATTTTGGGACTGCGTATTTGGGATCTGCTGTGCTGTGCCCCTGAGCTGTGCCAGGCAGTGGTGCCTGCTGTGCCTGGGTGATGTGGTGTGCGGTACGGCTGCTGGCATCGGTACTGCCGTGTCCCCAAGCCACCCTATCCCACGGTAGATGGGGCACTGAGCACCCTAGCAGCAGTGCCCACAGCCTTGGCTCATGGTGCCAGTTGACATCCCCCCAGAAAGTGCTCATGGGGAGTTTTAAAGGTGGGGAACATGGGGAGCAGGGACCCCAGCTCTTGGGCAGATGGAGAGGCCAGGGGGGTCTGTGTCACGCTGCCCGTCTTAGCTGGGATCTAATCGGCTCCACAGTGAACAAGGGCAGTTTGTCAAGCTTAATCTTCCTCACTGGAGGCCCTTTGGCACATGGGGGGCACAGGGGGTAGCAGGGACCCCAGGCACCCTTAGCACCAGGTGGTTCCCATGGGCACCTGTCCCATGCAGACTGCGGCCGGAGCCCAAGCCTGGCAGGAGCTGGTGGCACTGGGGAGGGCACCCGCCCTCCTGCTTGGCACAGGGGTGGCTTTTGGAAGCCAAGCACGAGGCTGCGGGATGGGTGCCCATACCCAGCCTCGCCCACGTGGGCGGCAGGAGCCCCGAGGCCATGGGGATGGGCACCCCGAGGTGTGGGTACCTCCCTGACCGCAGGTGGGAGGGCAAAGTCTGCTGGCACCACAGGGCTGCCCTGATGCCAGCCTTGTGCCTCTGCCCTCCTGCGGTAAGCGTGTTCAGGAAGAAGATGCAGAGGGCACCCGGCACACAGGGCCTTGGTGCCATGTGCTGGCTGGGGATGCCCTGCTCAAGGCTATGCAAACCCTACAGCTGTGGGTGCCCAGCAGTGCTCAGCCCCTTCCCTGCCCTGCCTGATGGCCTTTGCCAGGGCAAAGTACCCGTTTACTGTGCCGCGCCGGGCACCGGCCCAAACAGACCATGGAGAAGTACCTTTGCCCGCAATGTCAGAGGGCTGTGGGCAACAGAGGGACTGTGGGCACAGCGGGCAAGGAGGACAGCCTGAGATGCCAGCAGGGAGGCCCGGAAGGTGACAGTTGTAAACATGGGGCTAAGGTTGCAGGCGGGGGAGATATGCTATCTTGGGGACAGAAAGCTGGGGCCGGGCATAGCATGGAGGGTAAAGGGTGCCTGGGTGGTGTGGGGTACTTATGGGGGTCACACTGCTCGGAGCTGAGGGCACGCTGCTGGGGAAAGGTGTGCTCGAGGGTCCCACCACGAGGCTGGGGGCTCCGATGGGTTTCCCTATTGCTGTGGGGCTGCGGGGCGGCACCGAGCGTCCCCCAGCGGCCCCCAGATGGAGACAGCCCTCAAGGCTCGGAGGACATGGTGGGATGAAGCAGGCGTCATGGGCGCTGCTCCTTCACAGAGCTCCTGGAGAGGGAGTATCACCCAAAACCGCCCCACTCCCCGCGACGTGCTGCAGTGCCCGGTGCCCCCCGCCGTGCCCGGTGCTCCCGGTGCCCGGTCCCGACCGAACTCACCAGGGTCTGCTCGTACTGCAGCGCCCGCTGCTCCGCGCTCTCGGCGGAGGCCATGGCGCTCCCGGTGCTCCCGGTGCTCCTGGCCGTGCCGGTGCCGGTGCCCGCGGCAGCAGCAACTCCTCCCGGCGCCGTGCGGGGCGGACCCGGGGCATTGGCCGGGGGAGGGCCCGGCCGCGCTCCGCCTCCGCCGCTCCGACGGCGGCACCCGGCACCGGCACCGGGCAGCCCGGCACGGACCGAGGGGACGCGGGGCGGGGGTCGCTCAGAGCCCTCTGGCCGCGGTGGCCCTGGGGACACGTGTTTCCTTTCACGGGCACATGGTGGGGTCTGGCAGCAGCTTTATTGCAGGGGTTGGGGTTTGAGCAGAAAGCACCGTGCCCACGCCCAGCCGCAGGGTCAGGGTTGGGGAGAGGAGAGCCCAATGTCTTGGCACCGCCAGCAAGGAAACAGGAACCGGGGATGCGCACAGGTTGTGGACACCCCAGCACCGCGAGGACCCATCGGAGGTGCCTGAAGAACGTTCTTACCGTGGCACTGCCAGCATCAGAATGGGTGCCCAGAACACGCTCTTCACTGCCGGGTAGCAGAGGCTCAGTCCTCTCCGCCGGGACGCAGGAGCACAGCTTGGCACCGCTACTCCTGGGGCGAAGCACTGCAGTGTGGCACAATGGCTGCTCTCCCTCCAGAGCCGCTGGCGTCTCCATCTCACCACCTCAAAGGGCTCTGGAGCTACTGGGGCAGTTGGAAGGACTGAGCTTGCCCTCTCCCTGGCTGCACAGCATGACACGCTCAGCCACGATGGAACTGTGGCACTGCCGGGCTGATGATGTGGGACCAGGAACGCGCTGGTTTGTGCTGCCCAGGTGCCACCCTCCGCGTTGACGTTGGCACCCCCAAGGGTGGATGACAATGGCCAGGGACGGGGTTGAGGTTTGCCCTGCACCACCCTGGGAGGGTTCATCGCCGGCCGTGAACCAGTTTGCGGCGGGCAGGCGATATGTGAACTCCCCATTTATTGTTTCCCTGGGCACTGAGTCCCCTCCTCATGCGTCAGCTCCTGGCACTGCCCCACGCATCCGGAAGGAGCCCTATGCCAGGACACGAGTGCTGCTGCCAGTGGGCCACTGGCTGCAAGGTCACCACTGGCGCTGCCCCCCTGCTGGCCACGGCACCATATGGGCACATGCGCAGGGGCTGGGACACTTCAGCTGCACCAAGGACTTCATGCCCACCCTAAATGCCACCATGCCATCCTCCTAATGCTCTGGTGCCAGTCCCTGGTGTCAAGACAAGTACCGGTGCAACCCAGTGTCCCAGTATATACTAATGCTGCCCAGCATCATTGTGCCAGCGCATCCAGTGCCATCCCAACAGAGCCCAGTGTTACTTTGCCTGACTTAGATCCCAACCCTGGCACCTTTGCCATAACAGGGGTGCTGGGCTCAGAGCACTGTATCCACTCTGGCATTACATCTTTGACCATGGGCACTGATTAGGGCCACCCCAGCCCTGCTCCAACCCCTCTTGTGCCACCCTGCAGCCCTCCATTCCGTGTAGAATCCCTATGCCTCCAAGACCCTATGTACCCAGCCACATGACCTGCATGTCCCCAAAACCAGCAGCACCAGCACCCATGAATGTGTGATACAGAGGAGAGCAGTGGGCAATATCTCTGTCTTTAATAAATACATTTGGGACCCCCGTCCCTATAAATTACACACCAAGTCCAGACGAACTGGGGTGGGCACAGCGAAACGGGGGTGAGAGGGATTTTACACTATGTACAAAGCGGGCACGATGCCTGCTGCGCCCACCAGCCGGGAGCTCGTGAGTGCGAGTGCAGAGTGTCCTGGCTCCCCCAGCCCTGCTGCTGGCTGCTAGGGTGGCTCAGCACTGCAGCCGTGCCCAGAGGGGGTGCCTTCCCCATCCCTGCTCCTCTGTGCCCCGTGCCCAGCCGTGGGGGGGGGGCGATGGGGCTCTGTAGGGCCATCCGGCATCGCTGCGCTCTCAAGCTGCGCTCACTGCTCAGTGGCTCCATGACTCTGCTGTGGCTTCGTGCATCTTTTCTGGGGGTGCATCCAGGGCTGTGGAGGGAAAATGGGGTGAAATGAAGGCATGGAGGGTGTGCAGGTGCGTGATGGTCCCCGAAGGGGTGCAGAAATGCACAGTGTGCTGACGGGTACCCGAGTTCAGCAGCACCCACTCACCGCGACACTTGGCACAGCAGGGGTTGTCCCTCCTGCTGGGGCTGGCACAGGCACCTGGCGGGCACTCCTGGCGCTGGCAGTGCGTCTCTCCTGACTGTAGGGCACAAGCAGGGCTGGGACACAGGGGTACCTGCACCGCCAGCCCAGCTCTGTGCCTGCCTGTCCCTAAAGCACTTGGGGTGGCAAAGGGCATCTCCACATTCCCAGCACACTCACCACACACCAGCACAGGATGCACTTCATCTCCCCAAAGGGTGGCACCGAGGGGTGCCAGCTCTCATTGTTGAGGTACCAGCGGCGCCCAAAGCGGCACGCACGGGGTCCGTCTGCCTGCATGCCATCGGTCAGCTCAGGGACACTCTTCTCAGGGGCTGTGGAGAGGGCACAGGGAGACTGCATGCCCACAGGGTGTGGGAGGAGCAGTGGACAAGGGGGAAGCAGGGTGTACATACCTGGGCACTGCTTGCAGCAGTCGGAGGGGCTGACGCGCACAGGGTTGGCACAGGTGAGGCGTGGGCACTGCACCTTCTCACAGTGCACTTCACCCGTGGTGCCCTGTGGGGAGCGTGCACAGGACTCAGGGGGGCACTGGAGCTCCCCTGCTTTGAGACCCCCAAGACTCACCTTGCAGGTGCAGATGGCACATTTGATGAGGCCGAACGGTGGCACGACGGGGTGCCAGCGGGTGCCAGAGCCTCGCCACGTCTTGTCCCCATCAAAGTAGCAGCCTGAAAGTGGAGGAGGTGGGCACGGCGTCCATGTGATGGCTGTGGTGCCCTCAGCCTGTGCCCAGGGGACTCACCCTCACTGCTGTCCCGTGCCCGTTCCAGCTTCAGCTGCTCCTGCTCCATCTTCTTCTCTACAGGGATCAGGAAGGGCATGCTCAGGGTACCAGAGTGGGACCCCCACCTTGTACCCATAGAGATACTGCCCACAGCCCCCTCTTTCTGCCCCACACCCCCCCCCAGGAGCTCCCTGTGCCCCCACACCTTCACAGACGGGGCAGCACAGCTCCTCAGGGTGCACCTGGCGGGTACAGTTGAGGGGCTGGCACAGGATGGGATCGCAGATCACTGTGCGCTTCTGGGAATAGCAGTCACATTGCTCATTGAAGGATCCATCATCAATGGATCCACCCCCAGATCAGCCCTATAACCCCATACCTGGCAGCTGCAGATGGAGCACTTCTTGTCGTAGTCAGGTGCCCAGCGGGTGCCATGTGCACGGTGCTGCCCCTCGAAGAAGCAGGAGTTGGGGTCCTTTTTCAGCTGTTCTACATCCCTGCTTTTGGGGCCCTCTGAGAGCCCAGCCTCCCCGGTGGACAGGCGGGCCCCTCCTGCCTGGCAGCGGTTGGGGATGTGCACCTGGAGGGCAGCAGTAGGTTGGGACCATGGGCACCCGGCTGGGCATCCCACTTAGGTGTGCTCATGGCTGGTGGCACCGTGGCACCATGGCTGGTGGAGCACATAGCTGTGGGCATACGTGTCCCCACGCTATGCCCTTCCCAGTGCCAACCCCTGGGGATGTGTCAGGACCACATACCCATCCCCGCATCTCCCCACGTGGGTGTGCCTTGGTGCTGACTTGCAGGAACGCAGTGCCCTGTGCTAGGTGCTGCAGAAGCTCAGCGTCCAGGTCCTTCACCACCCCCTGAGCCTGTAGGGTGAGGGGGACAAGGGGATGTGGGGACAGTCCTGAGACCTGTGGTGACACTGTGGTGTAGCTGCTGTGAGCCCTCCTCACCTCAGTGCCATAGAACCCCTTGAGCATCCGCTTGTGCAGGTGTGGCCGTGAGCCCATCTCGCCCAGCTCGGCCACACCGTGCAGCTGGGCGCTGACTGTGCCATCAGCTGGGCGGCCCAGCCCCGCCACCACAATCTCGTAGTGCAGGTGGCAGTGCTCATCCAGCGACAGCCATGCATGGCCCCCGGCCCCGCTGCTCACTGCGGGGGATACCAGCTGCCCCGCCAACGGCACTGGCATCTCTGTACACAGAGAGGGGCGGTGGGAGGTGATGGGTGAAGGGCTGCACCGCTGTGCCCTGCCACCCCCCACCTCCCCCCATGTACCTGTGTAGCGTGCCAAGAGCCCACTGTAGGGCAGGGAGATGACCTGGCCCCTCAGCTCACCCTCTACCCAATCCTTGGTGGCCACGTTGAGGAAGAGCTCGTTCTGCAGCAGCATGTGCGCATCGCGGGCACTGGGGCTGTGCCACACTCCCTGAGCCTGGCATGAAGGGGGGAGAACACACATATGGGGTTGTGCCCACTTGTGCCTGTGCCAACCTTGCGCCATGTCACCAGCACTCACCAGCCCGTCCCTATAGCTGGGGGTCATGTCAAAGAGGACGTTCCTCTTGTTCTTCCGCCGCGGTTTGGTCTCCAGTGTGACCCCCACCACCTCGCTGGCTGTGCCCACCACCCGCACCTGCAGGCAGGGCATGGACAGGCAGCAATAGGGTGACCAGTGGGGTGCAGTGCTGTGCCCGGTGCCACGCCTGTCCCCATTACCTGGTATTCCAGCGTGCCGTTCTCATGCAGCGCCAGCTTGGCTGAGCCCACCGCCCCCGTCTTGGTGGGCTGCAATGCGTCTGCGCCGCACAGCACGCTTTGGATGGCTGCACTCAGGCACAGAGAGCAGAGAAAAGGGTGAGGACAGGCTGGGGGCAATGTCACTCCCACACCCCGCTGTGCCCTGCTCACTGTCACAGCTGCGGCGGGCAGTAATGGTGCCCTCCAGCTGGCGCGGGTGCTGACCCTCGGTGTCAGCCACGATGCGGAGCTGCCCCTGTGCCAACCACTGCAGCTCATGGGTGGACAGGTCACTCAGCACCTCCGCAAAGTCGGGGTCCTGGGGGTAAAGGCACTGATGAGGGAGATGCTGGAATACCCAGGGCAATGGGGATGGGGATGGCTGTACCTCCATAGTGATGTTGGCATGCACCTCACGAAGCGTCTGGCCTTGGTGCAGGATACGGACCCGCAGCGGTACCCAGGGGGACTCTGGGCATGGCAGAGGGGTTGGGGCTGCAAGGGGTGGCTGGGCATGGGGCTGTGCCCACTGCTCCCCAAACCCACCCCTCTACAGCTCCAAATTCTTGCACAACCCCACACCATAACCTCCCACCCCCCCCCATGCAGTCCCAGCCCACTGCACCTCCACACACTCTGTGCCCCAAATGCACAACCCAAATTCCCCTGCACACGGTCATCCTGACCCCACGCATCCCAAGCCAATTGCACACCACGCACCCCCTGAGCCTCCCCCGGTGATGCCATGCCCTGCAGCAGCCCATGCCTGTCCTCACCCCCAGCGCCCGGCTCCAGCAGCCCACGGGCCATGAGGATGAAGTGTAGGTTGTTCTCGGTGTCGCTCAGCGTCAGCATGGCCATGCCCCCGGCCCCAAGATGTGCGGGGTCTGATGAGGTCAGGATAGCACCAAATGTCTCTGTGCAGGGAGAGGGACATGAGGGGCACCCCAAAGGGAACCCCCCTCAGGGTGGGAAGTACATGGAGGGGGATCTTACCTGCAAAGAGCGCGCGGTGCTTGAGGATGTGCCCGTGCACCTCTCCAGAGGGCTGCGCACGGGTGATGAGGGACACGCGGAGCTGCTCAGCACGCAGCAGTTGTATGTTGGCTTTGGACACCGTCCTCCACATCCCACAGAGCTGTGGGTACAGCAGGGCTGGGCAAGGGGTGCCGACATTGGTGCGCCGTGCCCCCGCCCTGCCCTCCCCACTCCTCTCACCATGCCATCCTCAGGGGCTGCGCTCTTCTGTACTGGGTGCTCAAACAGCACGGTGCCCTCAGGGTCGCTGAAACGCACCCGGCTCGGCCGGCCCAGCCTGCGGGCATCGGGGGTTGAGCAGGGATCCCCTCCCCACGTGCCTGGCACCGGTCCCACGCAGTGCTCGGGGGATGGGGGACACGGAGCAGGGTGCCAGCTGGCATTGGAACCCAGGGGTCCCCAGGTTGGCACTGCGTGTGTGGGGAGGTGCACATTTGGGAAGGACGGCGGGGAGCTGAGCACTCGGCCTGGCTGTAAATTAGGAGCTTTTTCAGCTCTGTTTGGCTCCCCCTGGTTGGAGCTGGAAATTAGTCACCACTTTACTATGCAAAGGGGCCTGGAAGTGAGGAAGAGCAGAAGCAACCCGTGCGGGAAGGAGAGAGGGAGAGAGAGACGGACAGTGGGCACCCGGGGAAGGCATGGATTTGGAGTCCCGTGGCGGTGCCCATGAGCTGGGCCATATGGTGGCACAGTGCCTGCATCCCACTGCACCCACAGCCCCCCTCCTAAAATCACACCCCACCCACACAATGCTGCAATAGCACTGAAGGCATGCAGAGTGGAAACTGAGGCACAAGAGGCATCACATCACCAGGTTTCAGGGTTTCAAGGCTGTGCTCACCGCTCGTAGCTGATGGAGAAGAGCAGGTAGGAGCGCAGCAGGGTGAAGCGAGCCTTGGCCACCGCGCTGGATGTGGGGTGCCACGGCTCCGGGCCACTTGTCAGCAGGGCCACGAATTCTATGGGGGATGACAGTGATTACTATAGGAGCATGAGGATGCCCTGTGCTGTTCTCCCTCCCTGCGCTCACCTGTGCGGGCATCGTCGCGTGCCAAACCTTCGGAGCTGAGGTAGGAGCGGTCGTTGTACGGCTTGTCCATCTCATCCTCCTTGTCCTGGAAGTACTCAAAGGTGTCGAAAGGTGGCTCAGAGCTCTTCTCCAGGGGTCCTGGCAATGCTGGCAAGGGGGACACAGAGGGGAGATGGTTGTGGCACAGGTAACTCTGACACTAAGGAGCCCCTCCAGGGGGGTGCCCAGTGTCCCCAGGCTGATTCCAGCAGTGGGTGATAGCACCACACTCACCTTTGGGACAGGTGTGGCAGCAGTGCCCGGGCAACAGCGTGGCACGGGGGCAGGTGGGAACAGGGCAATCCTGCTTCATGTTCTTGCAGTTCACTTTCCCCACTGGTTTCCCTCGGCGATTCCTCTGCTGAGATGGTGAGAACCGTGCCAAATCATGCCAAACTCTGCCACAGATACAGCTAATCCCAACACCCAGCCCCAGCAGATGGCACAGCGGTGGGTACCAGTGCTCCCCTGGCACAGCCCCGATCCCCTCAGCCCATCTGCACAACCCCTGGGCCCCGCACACCTTGCACAGCCCCCAGCTGTTTGTACGGCAGCCAAATCCCGGCCCCCACTCCCCTGCCCAGCTGTGCTTGGCCCCTCCAGTCTCGGCCTCCAGGGGCTGCTGGAGGGAGAGGGCTGTCCCCGAAGAGGGGAGGAAGGAGAATGAAGCATGAGCCTTTAACCCTGCTCTGCTGGAGGGCACCCAGGTGTGCGGCCGGCTGGAGGAATCCCCGCTGCCCTTTCCCTCGGGGTGGGGTACTGAATGAAGGGGCGATCCCCCCTCCCCAGCAGGGCCTCATGTGTGTGTGGGGGGGTCCCCTCTCCTGGCAGGGGGAGGGAGGAGGGCACTCACCGTCTCGCAATGGCAGATCACGCAGCGCATCACCCCGAAGGGCTCCCCCAAGTCGGGGTGCCACGTCTCCTCCAGCGCATAGAAATGCCCCCCGAAGGCACAACCTGCAGATGAATTCCCACCCCATCATCGGAACACCCCCCCCAAGAAAAAAGTCACCTCCGAGCCGCGGGCACCCCCCTGCCGCAGCCCCGATGGGGCGGACAGAGTCCGGCACCGCCCCGTCGGGTACGGACCCGGTTATTGGGACCGAACGGCGGCACGGGCAGGCGGGGGGGGGGGGGGGGGGGGCCACGGAGTTGGGGGGGCATAAAAGGGGTGCACGGCGGGGATGCAGGAAAAGAGGGTGCACGGGTTGGAAGAAAAAGGGTTGCATGCAGCGGGGGTGCACGGAAAGGGGGATCGAAGGGAAAGGGGTGCAGGGAGGGGGTCCTACCTGCCGCCCCCCCGGGGGGCAGCGGCTCGCTGTCGGGCCGGATGGGCAGGGCGAGCTTGGGGCGGGCGGTGCGGGCGGGCAGGGCGAGCAGGGCGAGCAGCAGCAGGGCGGTGCGCATGGTGCCGGGGAACCGGGGGAACCGGGCGGCCGGGGGCGGGGAGGGGGGGCCGGGCGCTGCCTGCCGCCTCCGCTGCCACCGCCTCTGCCCGGCCGCCGGCCCCGGCCCCGCTTTATAGGCGGCGGCATGGGCAAGCGGGAGCTGCGAGCCCTGTGCAAACAAAGGACCGCTAATGAGGCGCAGGCAGCGGCCGGCCGGGGGGACGCGCCCCCGCCGCGATCCGAGCTCCCCCCCCCCCAAGAGGTCCCGGCCCACCGGGCGAAGGGACACCTTCAGCCACTGAGCCCCTGCCCTGAGAGAATAAGGTACCTCTGCCCATGGGTATGCCAGGGAGACCCCCGTCTGTGAAACACCACGGGGACCCCTTGGCATGGAGCATCTCTAGGACCCCCCCGAACCGTTGGTCCCCTCCCAGACGTGGAGTACCTTGGGTATGGAGCTCCCACTGGACCCCGGATCCTTTCACCCACATGCCCCTGGTCAAGCTTGGCATGCAGGGGATCCCCTCACATCCACACAACACTCACTGGGGCAATGCAGAACCCGAACCACACCCCCCTCCGTGGGGCTTGGGGTATTCCTGTGCACTGGACACAATGAGTACACCCCAATCCACATCCCTCCCCACGCTGCCCCAGGACATAAGGCCCCTGCAAGCCCTCATTTCCCCCACACCATAAGATCACCCTTCGGACAAAAGAAACATCTCCCCTCAGCATCCCCCCAAATCTGCGCTGTGCCATGTGATGTCAGACTCACGCACCCCACAACATGTGCCTTTGGCATCCCCAAATCCCAGTGCAGAGGGCAATCCCAGAGCAGGACCACAGGACCGTTCCCACAAGCATGAGAACAAGACCTGGGGTCCCAGGGAGGTGCTGTGGCCGAGGGCATGGGAGCAGCACCCAGCACGGATTCTGGTCTTCACCCACATGTGCCCAGGCTGATGAGGGCAGCAGCGGTGGTGGGCAGGGAGCAGACACCATGGGAAGGCCTGGGGAGAGCACGATCCAGCTGGGGAAACTGAGGCGCAAGGCACAAGTAGGGGAGAGTGGTGTGTGCCACCCGTGTCTCCCCCAGCAGCAGGGAGGGAACGAGGTGCTAGATCCCCCCACCAGTGGGGAGGCAGGCGGGTGTGCAGGGGAGGAGGGGGAAGCGCTGGGCTGCCAAAATCAACTCTGGGCGGTGCAAACAGCCGGCCAGCTGCACGGTGTAACTAGGGAAACACGGCGCAGCTGGAGCACAACAGGCCCTTACCTCCCCAGAAGGCTCCTCCTGGGCCTCCCCAAGGCACAGCGAGTGGCTAGGGGGGCTGCAACCCCACACACCATATCCCTGCTGCCAGATGCCCCATCCCTGTGCCCTCCCCCACCCCGCTTGGCACGAGCAAGCCCCGGCAAGGGGTAGCCGGGTTTCCCCATCGGGACATCCCATTGCCACCTCCACGGCTGGGACACCACGGACATTCCATGCGCAACACCGTACTGCTCGCAATGGGCTGTGCCCGGCAGCGTGGCACCCCATTCCCATGCCCACCCCGTCAGTGCCACCGACCTGTCCCTGCTCCTCTCTCCCGTTGTCTCTGTTGGCCTGGGATCCGGTGACAGGGGAGGGCCGGGGGCTGCGTGGCCGTGCCAGCGTCACCGCCTGGTGCCCACCGCCGTGGTGCAGCCTGGGGGGAACGGCGGGGAGCGAGCAGGGCTGAGCGGGGAGGAGGAGGCGGGCGATGGCTGCCGGCCGCCCTGCCGGTGCCAGGAATCTGCCGCTGGCTCCGCGCACCCGGAGCTCGTCACAGTCTCCTGGCTCCGCTGCGGGGATGTGGGGAAGCAACAGGGGAAGCTCCCTCCCCTTTCCCGGGAAGGAAGGAAAGCTGGGAGAGCCCTGGCCTTGGCATGGGAGAGACTGAGGCATGGGGAGGGCACGGGGGTAGCGAGGCGTCACTGCTACAACAGGAGCACATGGGTTGGGAGGAAACGGGCATGGGATGAGATAGGACGCACACGGGCATCCCTACCGCACAGCCCCAGGCGGTCCTGAAAGTCCTGGAAGTGCCCCCCAGGGGTCTCTGTGCTTTTGGGGTGGGAAAGGGTCCCGGTGCCGCCAGCTGGTTCCCGGCGCCCGCACATGCACTGGGAGCTCCCGGCACAAAGGCGGCTCTGAGGCTCCCTGCAGCCGGGCCTGGCGCCGGCACAGCCCCAGCGGGACAGGGCTGCCGGCTGCGGGCAGCTGGAGCTGCATGGGGACAGAGCCAGGCAGCCACGGCTGCTCTGTACCACCCCATAAGCAGGAGCAGGTGCCCGGCCCCATGGCATGTAGGTGCCGGGAGCACGTCAGGGTGGGCACACTGATGATGGTACTCCACTGTGGACTCTGCGTGGGCTGTGTGGGCTCTGTGGCCATGTGGCCACGAGGGGTCACTCGGAGGGGCCACCATCTCATCCCTCTCTGCCCAGTGGTGCCGTGCCTGGCTTAGGGGTGCCTGTGCCAGCACTGCCGCCCCATGCAGCTCCCTATTGTCTGTCCCTATTAGCTGCTGTCTGCTTCAGGCTTTGAACATGAGCCGGGCTCAGGGCGGCAGGAAGGAGCCTCTTCTCCCTAGGGATGGGGTCGAAGCGAAACCGCACGCCCTAACCCCTTCCCACAGCTTCCATCCTCCTCCGGGCACCTTGACACCCCATGCCATGAGTAACGGGGGCCAGACCCAACCGGAGCTGGGGAGCCACAGAGACACCCCCGTCTCCAAAAAGAGCCCCCCTCACCTCACTTACTATGGCCTCCCCAAAGCTCTGTGCAGAACGAAGCCATGCCCCGTGACTAATCCCCCCCCGGCCTCGCACATACACGGCGGGGAGGGGGGTGCTGTCGTAATGGGTGGAAATATCTCATAATTCACGTTGGACATGGGGATTGCAGCCGTTCCGGCAATATTTGCACAACTGGCGGGCGGCTCGCAGGGCTGGGCCGCCCCAGACGAAGGCAAGGGGGGTCTGGGGGCGGAGGGTATTTGGGGGTGGCAGGTATGGGGTGAGGGGGTGCAGCTGGGGGAGCGGCTGCTTTTCGTCTCCAGACACATGGAGTTTATTAGGGACTGCGTGTTCTCAGCGCGGTGGGGATGGATGGGGCTCTCTGTCCCTTCTTGCCTTGTGGTGGAGGAAGGGGGGGCCAGGATGTGGGCAGAGACCCCAAAATATCCTCATGCGCTATGCTCGGGGCTGTGCCCACTCCCAGTGGCCCATCACAGGGTACCCAAAGACCACAGAGATCCCCTTCATCCCTATGGGAAGAAGGCAGGGAGCGCGTGGGCCACGGGGGGGCCCTGTTTGGCATGGGGATTAGCACGCTCCCAGAGCAATCGATGGTGGTCTCCCCCCCCCCCCCCACCGGACATGCAGGCAAATATTTGTGCCCAGACTTCGCGGGACGGCGAGAAGGAATTTCATTCTTGCGCCCACCTGCGGCTCGACCGCCTGGCATTAACCCCTTCACCACCCCAGGGGATGGAGGGAGGTGCCCCCCCTGGTGCCCCCCATGCGGGCAGCGGAGTGGGCAAGGAGTGCGACAGGGCAGCATTTGGTGCAGATGGTTGGCCGCAGCTCTGGGCAGGCCTGTGACAGTGCTGATGGTCGTTGTGGGCACAGCACAGTTTATCCTGGCAGTCCCCTACTAGACAAACCCTGTGCAGGGCCTGTGGAATATGGAGAATGGGCAAACCATGCCAGCCCCCCAGCCGGCTGCCCTCTGCAGCACAACCACCTTCCTGGGCTGCTCCTGGGAGTGGGATGGTGGGGCATGGAGAGCTCTGTTTGCCCACGGATGTTTATTGACAATTTGCAAATGTAAAACAGGACCGGAGGGGGTTGAGATCTTTGCCTGTGGTGGGGTGAGGGGAGCACAGGGCCTGCTCACAGCATCCTGCTGGCACCCCCAGCTCCGTCCCTTGTTCCCCAGCCTCTTTGTGCCCAGCTGGGCCCTGAGCAAACGGGGCTGTTTGCTCACTCTGGGATTAGCTGCTCTCTTTGTTCCTTTGACTTTCTCTTCCCTTTATGCCGGACCCTTTTATGGGGGCTTCAAAGGGGGCTCGGAACCACCACCTCCACCCCCCCACTGCCTGCAGAGCTCACGTTGGTTTCCCGTGTCTCACTGCTTTGCAGCAACATCCTGGCGGTGCCTACTGGGGACACCTGGGTGGCCCTTGGGGACAGCAGCTGTGTCACCTGCCCAGTCCTCCCCCACTGCCTGGCACCTCCGGCTGCCCTTGGCACTTGTTGGAGTGGGTGTGAACGGCTGCTCTCCACAGCAGGATTCCCGGCACTTTGCACCCTGTAAGCAGAGGTGGGAAACACAGCACCGGGATCCGGCCAGCTGCACAGCTCCGTGTCCCCCCAGGACAGCACATCCCAGCAGTGCCATTCCCAGCAGGAAAACAGCAAGCTGCCTGCTGGCATTGCTGGAAGGAACATTTTGGGGTGAAGGGCACCCTGCGGTGCTCTGGTGTCTTCTGGCATCCAGCAGGCATCCTGCCACGTACCAGCTGCCCCATTTCCCTGATGAGTTTTTCGCCTAATTATGAAGGCTATGGGGCACTGCAGAACTCCAACCCAGCACCATGAGGGGCAACGTGCCCAGAGAGGGACGGGGACCAGGGCATAGTGTTGGGGACCGTGAGAAGGGATCAGAGTTGGGAGCGAGGACAGAGCTGTCCCAGGGTGCCAGCAGGGCGCGTTTGCAGCCCGTCACGTCCGCAGAGCCGGGACACGGCCGTACGGGGAAGCCCAGCGGTGTTTGACCCCAGTGCTCACAGCTGCCGCCAAACCGTGCTGCACTGCGTCACCAGCGCTGTCCCCACAGCCAGAATGGGGCTGCCGGAACCCACCAGGACCCCCCGCCGCTTGCAAGGTGGGTTGATGGCTGTGGGGCCAGGGGGATGTGGGATGGGCACGGGGGGGGCCGAGGTGTTTACCCCGGTTCCTGTCACCTGGCCAGGGAACCGCTGGCCACGAGGACGGGATGGGAGCGTGTGAGAGCAGTGCTGTGTGTAGTGTGCAGGAGGATGAGGTCTGGGGGCTCCTGAGTCGGTGTGGGTGTGAATGCAGGGGGCTGCGCGATGGTGGATGCATAGGGGCCATGTGAGCATGCAACCCACAGTGCGCACGCGTGGGGCTGTGGTGCAAGTGGGGGTGTGGGTGCGCACGTGAGCACAGATGCGCACGTGGACATGTGCATGTGTGCACTCCTGCCCCTGGGGGTCTCTCCAAGCTCTCTCCACCAAAAAACCCCACTTCCTGGCCCCCACGCCCCATGACTGTCTCTCAGCTCAGAGCACCACTGACGCCATCTATCCTGCCGTTCCAGGACCACCTTTGTGCCACAGATAGGCACGGCCACCGTTCCCAGCACCGATATCCCACTCGCAGATCACTCACGCCCAGGGCGAGGGGCAGGTGAGTGCCCGAGGACGCCCTTCCCAATCCCGGAGCCAAGGGAGGAAGCGGCTGGAGGCAGGAAGCCGTCCTCAGGGCCCCCGGAGCACTTTTGCTCGAAGGTCAGCAGCAACACAACAGGAAATCACGCTGCCTCGGCACGGCGGCCGGGCCAGAGTGCTGCGCCGTGCTGTGCTGCCCGAGGGGTGTTCCCAGCCCCCAGTCCTCCATCCCGGCCCGGCGGCTTGCGGGGGGGGGCCCGCACCACAGCTGCCCTCCATGGAAGGGGGACGGGAGCCGGGGAGCAGCCGCTGGCCCCAGGGCAGAGGATGCAGGGCTGAAGCCCCCAGCAGAGCATGGAGCTGAACAGTGAGTGCGGGGTAAAGGGGATGGGCACGAGTGGGAAGGGGCACTGCTGTGGCAGTGGAAAACCAAATCACGGCCCCAACCTCCCTGGCACAGGCACAGCCATCACCCCACACGTTAGAAGCGAATGCCAAGGGTGCCTCTGGTTTGGTTGGAGCTGCCCACTGCCAGTTTGGCATCTCACTGTGTCCAGCCTTGGGCAGCAGGTTCTGCCCAATCTTTTTGGGGACAGGTGCAATGCCAAGGTGGTAACAAGAAGGGACACAGGTGGATGGACGAAGGGCTCTCGGAGATGGCAGTCACCAGCATGGAGCTCAGAAGTCAGCCAGCTGAGGGGTGCCTGGGGCAGCAGCACACCCATGGTGCCAGCTGAGACCATGCACAGGCGAGCCCTTGGCTGCTGCAGTGGCGAGGAGTCGACGTGCACTGCAGGAGGCTGCAGGCAGGGATTCCCCGAAATGCACGTGACAGCCAGAACTGCTCCTGGCACAAACTCCCCAAAGGAAGGCCTGCACAGGGAACACAGCTCATCTGCCTGTCTGCTTCCCAGGCTGGAGCTGAGCCTAAAATCCAGCACTGATGCTTGTCACTTCCCCCCAGCCCTTCTGCACTGCTGGGAAATCCCAGCTCTGCCCAGAATCATGTCCCCAGGAACAGGAGGGAGACAAGATCCTTCTCAGCCTCCAAAACCTCCTCATGTCCTACTACAAAGCAATTCCAGACACCACCAGACCAGGCAGAGCAGTTGCTGCTGTAGGCGTTACCTGAGCTGGGGCTCTTTGAGGAGGGTGGCCAGGTGCCCATGGGTATCCCCTTCTTTCCCAGGACTACTGCTCCTCACATCTTTTCTCCTGCACATCAAAGAAGGCCATGCCAGGCCAATGGGGCCGGTCTGCGACAAGAGACTGATCCAGAAGTACATCGGGGAGGCCAAGGACATGGAGAAGAGAATGGTGAGGAAGCAACGCCTCCCAAAACCCAGTATCAGGCTGGGCTGGCAGGACAGAGCTGGAAAAGACTCCTGGCGTCTCACTACAGCAACTCTTCTCCCCCAACAGAGCGAGTGCCAGGCACTACCCACACTCAGCTGCCCTGTGGTTCTGCCTTTGGTGGACTTCAACATGCGACAGTGGAAAAGCAAATCGGTGAGAGGGGCTGGGAGGATGGTGCTGGGGTGCCTGTGGGAGTTGAGAAGGAGCCCCTGGGTAAGCAGAGGGATGCGGTCACCAACAAGCTGAACAAGAGGCTTGTAGAAACAGTTGGTGGCAGAGGAGCACTGCGTGGAGATGAGGTGGAGGATCCCTCCACATCAAGGGTGGGCATGGGAACGATGGGCCTGCAGCCCTGTGCCAGTGGGGTCAGTACACACACTGCTCCACAGGATGAGATCAAGTGGCGTGAGATCCTGTGCAACCTGGTGCTGCTGGTGGGTGCTGTGACAGAAGCTCAGGGCCAGGTGAGCCAGGAATGTGGAGCCAATCAGCTGAGACAGCTCTATCGACATGCCAACTCCTTCCTCCTGCTCCTGCAGACCTTTGGCTGGGAGGTGAGGCCTCATCGCGTGAGCAAGGACACCTTCAGGGCAGGTGTCAGCTGGGCATGATGGCATTTGTGACCCCCTCATCTCACTCTTGCCCCTCAGGAAGGGCCCTGCTGCTCCCCAAGCTCCATTGAGCAGACTCAAGTCACTGAGATCTTCCTCACCTACCGACAGTTGGTGCAGGGCAAGCTGCGCTTCTTCTTCCACAACCTGGCTAAGGACTCATGTGACTGAGATTGGGGCAAGCAGGGACCTCCAGCCCAGGGCCTGATGAAGCTGTACACAGGATTCAACACTGATAAGAGGTCAGAGCAATCCCATAGGACAATGAGCCGTGCTCTGGGTGCCCAGGAAGGTGCCACAGGGAAAGGGTTGGCTCCTTTTCCACAAGCCTTTGGCTATCACATGGCTCACAGCCACACCTGTGCAGCATGAGGCACACGCCTTGCTCCTATCAGACTGTGAATGCTTTACAATTAAAGACCTATTTTTCTAAAGGATTGTTTGTGTCTTCCTGTTACCACTGCTGTGGCACTGGACTGGGAAGCATACACCAGCCTCTGGGAGAGGCAGCAGCTGGGGGATATGCTCCTGTTCTCCCCACAGCATCCAGCTCCCTCCTGTGGTGGCTGCCATCTCTGCAGGGCAGCTGGGCTCTGCTAAGGGATGTGAGATGATAACATGCCCTGCTTTCTGGTATCCACCTGCCAATCTCACTGTGCTGAGTTCTGGGGTCACACAGCACCATTCAGGCTAGGACAAGCCCCTACAGGAGCCACAGCCTGCAAGCCACTGTCCCTGATGTGGTAGCTTTGCTGTCTGCTACCACAACACCCTCCACGAGCATTCCATCTTCATCTACCAGCCTGCCTCCTGGGAAGCCAGCCTCGCCTCTCAGCCACAACAACCACATCTAGAAAACACATAGCAGTTTAATTAAGGAGCCACACCTGTCTCAGAACAGCACGTTAGAAAATGATGCCCAGCCTTAGCACAGACAGGTGTATGTCCCAGTCCAGCTGCCCCTGGCCAGAGCTGGGGCTAAGCCTGCTTTTGAAGTGCAGGAAGGTGAGAAAAAAAAGTCAGCAGACAGGACCACAGAGCACCCATGGTCTCCACTGAAAATGAGGGACCAGCCCCTACATGGAAGGGAAACAGTCAGAAAAGACTGGGATGAAAAGGGGGAATGCCCCCTCCTACACCACCACTGGAAGAGCTGGGCAGCAAAGGTGCTGGGGTGGGATTTGGGGTGATGGTGTCCTGTTTGCTCGCCAGCAGAATGTCTCTGGGGCAGGCAGCCCACTGACGTGCATCATCTCCTAGAAGGCCAACTTCTTCATCAGCAGGTAAACTCTGGAGTCCACTTCAAACCCATGCAGATTGTTTGCATCTCCCTGAAGGCGCATGAGCAGCCCCCCGTAGGACACGTAAGCAGAGCTGGGGCAGGAGGAGAGGAGCGGTGAGAGCAGGGAAACTCATAGGAGACCCAATCAAGACACTGCTGCCACCCCACCACCCTCAGGCAATGCATCCCCGTCTGCCAACAGACACTCACAGGCGTGTGGCTGCTTCTGTGGACGTCTCATCCCCCTCAATCCTGTACACCTTGCCATACATCACATACTCGAACTGGTCTGCCCTGAAATGAGATGAGGGAAGCTCAGAGAAGTGCCAGAACTGTCACCCCCCTCCTTCCCACAACCCCTAGCAGAGCATCCTCTGGAAGAAGGCACCTCGCAGCCTTTCAGCACCCCAACTCCTCCACCACTGCGAGCCACAGCACCTGGAGGGCCTGTCATCTGTAGGGTTGTACTCCCCATCGTCCAACGTGCCATCCTCATACAGGGTGCTGGCAATGACCAAACGGAATTTGTCACCTGGGAGGAGACAGCAAAGGAGCAGCGTGAAGGCACAGCCAGAGCAATGGCAGTCACAGTGGCAGCTGCAGCACAACTGCAGCAAGGAATTGCCCTGGTGAGTTTATTATGAACCTGGTTCCTGTGTATTCTCCAATAGGATAGCAGAAATTGAGGGAGACGCGTGCTCTTATCTCTCCCTACAGAAATTTATCAGCACTGCAGAGCCACCAGGTCAGCACAACTAATGTTTTCATGGCACACAGCAAGGGAACTGCATGGAGAGCCTTGGAAAGTTGCGCTTGCCTTGGGCAGGTATGGAAGATCAGCCCCTTCCTCATCTTATTTATGGTAAGTTTTCCATTCAGTTAACGTATTTAGGCATGGAAACCCATTTCAAAAGCTCTCCATCAGGCCCGGTTGCCATTAGCTAACACAGATTCGCTAAGGGGCATCTCTAGGGGATGGGTCAGACCTGATTCTAAACAAACCCCACAGCGCAATGAGCCCGAATGGAGCTCAGCCCCAGCAGCGCCAGCACCACGCACCCCTGGGACAAAGGACAGCACAGTACCATGCACACTCCTCCAGCAGCAGGCCAGGCCCCCCTCCTCCCCGGCCCCCCTCCTCCCCATCCCGGCGGCGTACCGAGGTCCACGGGGTAGATCTGGATGTTGACGTCCAGGATGAGGTCCATCTTGAAGGACTCGCTCTCGCAATGCAGGCGAGACACTGCGCAGAGCGGGGCGGTCGGCACAAGGGAAGGCCCGCCGCACCCGTCCCCTCCCACGCCGGCACCGGGGCCGCCCGGAGGCCCGAGTGAGAGTTAAGGGCTCAGGGAAGAAGGGTTGAGAACGGGGGGGTTCCAGCTCACCGCGGTCGAACTTCTTGCCCTCGGGGTCGATATCTTTCACATCGAAGATGTCCTCGAAAAGTATCCCAGCCATGGCGGAGCCGCCTCGCGCCCGCTCCCGCAACGGCGCACGGTGATGACGTGTTTCCACATCCGACACACGCCAGACTGCGGGCAGCGGGGCGGAAGAGGCTTCATGGTGGGCGGGGCTAGACCTACGCCTGCGCGGTGCGGCCGGCAGAGGAGCCCGCGCGGTCTTAGCGCCGTTAGCAGCGCCCCCTGCAGGCTGGGGAGGCGCACTGCGGTGCGTGTGGGGGGCGGCAGGGGGCGCTGCGCGGCCGCGGATCGCACCGCGTGGGCCGGGCACGGCGACGGGGAGCGCGGAGCCGGCGGGCACCTCCCAGCGGGACCCGGCTCTGAGCGGGGCGTGGGGGCTGCCCCCGGGGACGAGCCGTTCAAGGCCCCCCAGGAGCAGCCGGGGACGGTGCGGCTCTCGCTGCCGGGACGGTGGGGGCAGCAGCGCACCGAGCACGGGGAGGCACACGGCGTCACGCCTCTGCCCTCACGCGTCACCCCCCACCCTACCAGTGTCACACCCTCACGGTGTCACCTTCTCTCCGTGTCACCCCCCCAGTGCCACCCAGTCCCCGCTGTCAGCCCCTCTCCATGGGTGACACGAACGGCTCGCTGCGGCCGCGCTGTGCCGCTTGGGTGGGCGGAGGGATGCGCGGGTACAGAGGGACACGGAAGGACAGAATGACACAAAGGACAGAGGGACGCGGTTTGCCGGCCCCGCACCGCTGGGGATGAGGAATCGAGGCTGCGGGTGGCCGCCGCTCGGTGCCCCCGCCCGGAGGCACCTGCCAGGTGCCTGCCGTCGCCTCCTTATCTGGAGCCAAACAAATCTTTCCGGCACCTGGTGCCGCTCTGTGCCCGCAGCACCAGCTCTCACCCCCCTCCCCTGGGTCCCAAGGCTGTGGAGACCCCACAGACCGACTCCAAGTGCTCTGCAGTCCCCGGTGCACTGGGATGGTGGGGGCAGATATACTGGGGGGGGGGAGGTGGAGCACAGCTCTGTCCCTGCCTTAGTGCACCCCAAAACACCCCAGCACACAGTGGGACTCACTGGGGGTCCCTCCAGGTGGCTTCTCCCCAGGTTGAAAGTCCCAGTGCTCACAGTGCTGGGCTCTGTGTGTGTGGGGTGGAGAGGGGAGGGGGGGTTAGCCATGGGGCTGTTATCTTCCACTGATAAATTGTACAACATGAGCGTGGCTTTGAACAGCGGCCAGGCCTCCATCCGGCAGGATGGCGCTGGGGGGCCAACACAGTCTCCAGTGATCTCCAATGGGGGGGGGGGTGGTGATGGAGATGGGGGACGTGGCTTTGGAATGAGGAGCTGATGGGGATGGGAAGCACGTCCTCTGAACCTCCTGGGGTGCTCAATGGTCCTCAGAAGCAAAGCAGAGAGGCACAGCGGGTGGCAGGACCACGGTGGCATCTGGGTGGTTGGGCAGCCCCAAATCCCTGCCTGCACACCAAATCCCTGCTCTCTCCCCAAAGTCTGCCCGGCTCAGGGTGGGAGCGGTGCTTCAGAGGTGGCTGCGGCCCCTCTTATCTGTGAACACAAAGGAGCCGCAGCACCGCCCTTATGGAGCAAACAGACGTGGGGAGAGGCTGGGAGGGCCCGTTGGCATTGGGCATTGGGGTGGCACCGTCCCCATGTGGCGGTGCTATGGGGTGCAGTGGGGACATCCCCCCACTGAGCGGCCCCCCTAAGGCTGGGGCTGGGCAGGAAGAGACCGAGCCGAAATTAAGCTGTTAATGAGTCTGTCTGTCACCGGGCTGCCAATTACCCATGTGGGTAAGGAGGAGATGATGGAGGTGGCATGGGGCAACCTGGCAGCCCACCCGATCATCCCCTCATTAGCACCGCATAACCCGGAATGAGGGACAAGGCCCTGGGCAGGGATTAGCCCCTTCCCTTCCCTGCTGAGGCCGTGATGGGCGATGAAGGAAGGAAAAAATGAGCTTTGGGGGAAAAATATGTGATAAGTGTCGGTCCTCTGCCCCTGGTGTGCAGGGTCTGAGGAAAGGCCCGTGCCCCACAGCCCTGTCCCCGAATTCCTGCGGGCTGATGCTGACGTCTGTTTTTCCGTGACACCTCAGCCGGTGCTGCAGGGGGGACAGGGCCATCTCCCCACAGCTGTCATCGCGCTGGGCTGTCCCCGTGATGGCCCTTATCAGCGGGTGGCCCTGGGCTGCAGGCTGCGGCCCCCGATCCCATGGTGGTGGGGGGCTGCGTGCCCTTTCCTGCCACCCTCTGTGCCCCACATGGGGTATTGGGGATCTCTGGGGTGCTGGGTCCCATGGTTCTTCCCCCAGAACTCACCAGTGCATTCCCCCCCCCCATCCCAGACCCACCAACCAAACCCGGCCAAGCTGGGTTAGGATGAGAGCTGGGGGATTTCGGAGGGCTCCAAATTAGCTTAATGGCTTTGGAAGACAAACAGATTAGAGAGCTGCAGCAGTCAGGGCAGGGATCAGCTAAATTGGAAGCAGAGGCAGCGCCCCAGTCCCTCCGGTCAGCCCCAGGCCACAATCCTGCAACACCCACCGGCTTGTCCCCATCACCCCCATCTCTCCCTGCAGTGCTGGGTCACAGCAGTCTCTTCCCTCTGCCCTGGGTTTTGGCCACGTGTCAGCAGCCTCCGGGCGTTGCTGCGCTTCCCCTTCCCTTTCCCTTCCTGTCCATTCCTCGTTCCCCGTGCCCCTTTTCCCTGCCATGTCC